AAAAAAGAGGTCTTTAACCATGACTGCAGACACTGCAAGAAGGAGTATGGAGAGATAAAAAGATGGCATGCCATCAATTCCATGTGCATCTCCCATCACCCTGAGCTCCTCTCACAGGAAAGCCTTTATACTCCCATTTTAGAAAGGAAACAGAAATAGTATTAAAAAGTCACTTTGAAACAGTACATGTTTTCTTCATTATTATACCCCAGTTTGTCCTACAAACAAGAGTCTGAACTGCCAAAGAGTTTCTAAGAAAACAGACTTGAAGCATTCCCAAGGTTGATTTCCAGTCCCTGGATTTCAACATAGCCAAGGGTAAGCTTTCAAAATCATCAGTCCTTATGAATCCAGCCTGCCCCAAACAGTCTGTATCAAGTAGTAAAGTGCTCAAGCACTTAATTGCCAGGAACTGCAGTGCTACAGTGCAAGTGAAGCACTTGGTGCCAGCCCCAACCTCCGGGTGTGGGTATGAAAGGCACGCTCTCTGCTATCCTTCAGCTTATACATTAAGGGCACAACTGGATGGAATATGAGATTGGTGATAGAAAAAACTCAAGGTAAACTGAATTTAGTTTGGGGAAAAAAGTATATTATAACTATCTTTTCACATTTCGTTATAACAGCAGATTTTAAATAAACAGCTTTGAACATTTTTTTAATTCAAATCTTCTGCAACATCTATGTGGGTCTCAGGTACACCGTAGAAACCTCATAGCTTTAGATTGGATCCTTATCTAACCAAAGTAAACTAGCACTTATGTCAGTCTTACTAAACTGCTTGCCTGTTTGCCTGCAAGTCATTTTTCAAATTGAATTAGAACAAAGTAATTGTTTCTATTGACACTGTGCACCTTTGCACTGAGCAGGGCAATAGACATTATTTATTGAAAAAACATGGATGACATTTTTCTCAAAACAGCATCATATGTAATTTTATATATTTCAAATTTAATTTGAAATGTTAAATTTATGTTCTCCAAATATTTTCTGAAGGCAGCCTTGACTGAGGAGAACACAGCAAAAAACAGGTAGATAACACCAGCAGCCTGGAACCACGCTTCTGGTGAGTCTTCACTTAATGTCTCGTAATATGAGGTGAGCTCAACAGGAAAGAGCTGCCAGTACTGGAGTGACAAATAAGTGGCGTTCACTTTCATTTCTGTGCACAGCCATTGGCAGCACTGATGAGGAAGGGCATCAGGCAGCTGACAACAGTTACCAGCAAGATACAGCTGGTGAAACACAGCTGTGCCATAACAAGCCTGCAAGCCATGCTCCTGGCTACACTATTTCCCCTTCTCTACCCTTTCTGCTTTCATTGGGATTGATTCTGTTTGTACAGAAGCTCTCTCAGCAAACTTTGGCTGTCAACCAAGCATTGTTTCTGTGAAAGCAATCCCCCTCTTCTGCACTCCGGCCATGGCAGGCTAGAAACAGACTTGGAGTGGGTCACAGACAACTGGATGTGAATCCTTCAGCATGCAAATTTCACCAAAATTACTGCAAACAGCTAACCAACAAACTTACCTGTGGACAGCCTTGTGATCTCTGCACTGCTATATATCTGCTACTAAATACAGGCCTTTTCTTTACATGAGGAAAACAGCATGTTTTCCTGCTTTTCATTTAGATGACGCAGCATAACCAAGTTCACAGCATGCACGTAATCAATCCCCTCCTCCACCAGTTTTCTACTCAACCTATGTGAAGTACAACAGAATACTACAGATGTTTCATCAAGACCAAAAGTAGTGGAAAGTTCCTTCCAGTGAGTAGTGTGAAGTGGAACAACAATTTAGCACAATACCATAAGGCTTCAATTTAGCACAAACAAATATTTGCTAAGAAATCACAATGAAAGAAACTTGGATTTGAATGCCAGGATTGTATTCTGGAGGACATTCAGACAGAAATAATGGAAAGCTCATTCTTCTGTAAATGCTATGAGTCTAAGGTTAACTCTTGCACTGGACCTCTTGCTACTGCTGAATAGCCTATGTGTTATGGTGGCATTTCCCATCTTACAAATATATCAACTTATTTTCCCCCCAAAGATGTATTCCTTCAGTGCATTCAAAAACATAGACAAGATCTTTATTTATTGAAACACAGTACTATAAACCTTAAAACTCCACAAATCATCCAGTCCATCTACTAATCTGAAACATCACATAAAAAACAGCCCACAAAAGGAAAAGAAAAACAGTAGATATAGGCACTGTTGATAGAAGTGAAACATCATTAGTTAAGCCAAGAGTTAGAGGGACTACATCTCTCCAAATGGAGCAGGCATGACAAAAGCCTTAAAGAATGAAAGCAGCGAAAGTATCAGAGAAATAAATCATTGAGGTTTATGCTCCTCTCCTGTTCAGGGCACAGGATGGCATTTGGTGCACACCTGTTATATACACTTCAGACAAGACTTGCATTCTTTGGTGGCTGGTATAATAACTAGCAGAGACAGTTTAGGCAAAAAAGAAACAACCAAGCATAAAGACACTGGACATTTCACTGACTTAGATCTCAAACAACAAACAAGCATGTTTACAGAGCCCTGTGCCATTTGCTGAATCACAGTACCAAGGCACAGCACACCTGGAACGAAAACCCTCTCAGCGTGCTCACAATCTTTTTCTTTTCCTAATTGTTCTGCTCAAGAAGAAGCAAAATTGCTTCTGACAGGTTCTTGGTGATACTGGTAAAGTATCCACAGGCAGGCCAATAATCATACATGAAAGAAGAGTCAAACTCACCCGACTGGTGAAGGGGCTCTCCGGCTGTACAGCACTCCTCCATAGGAAGCAGCCCAGGTCCAGGAGATGCTCTCCCTTTGGGGGCCAGCCCTTATATGAGCCCAGGGCTGCTGCACCCGTTCTGATCTATGAGAGCACAGGTGCAAACAATTGGCCTGCACTGCCTGGGCTAACCACACGCCTCCCCCAGGTGCTCAATCAACAGTTCCCTGCTCTCATCCAGCATTAAAGATACATTTTTCTATTTTGCTAGAAGATACATGCTGCTAGTTCTGATCACCTCCTCTATTAATAGACTTTTCAAGACAATTCAAATTTTGAAATAACTTTGTAAAATTACAGAAAAAAAACACAATGAACCAGGGAGGAGAGTTTGTACAATTAATTTTTGGACAACAGGTTATCAATCAAAATAAGAAGTAACTTTGAGTTAGAAAGAATCAATAGGAAATAGATACAACGTACAAGGACCCAGCTAAACCAGCAAGGCTCTCCTGAAGCTCAGGTGCCTGAACTGCCCTTCCCAGTAAAACCACGTCTTTGTGCTAGCCCAGCTCAGGACCACCGAGCACTGCAATTTGCAGGACAGAACTACTGTCCTGAAGGATGATGAATTGCATAAACTCAGCTGCAGCCTGGAGTTTCATCACATCACCTGCACCTGCAATGGGCACAGACTAATTAACTTGCTACTGCTGATCCTAGCTCAGTAGTTTACTGTGGCCACCTTATTGTGAATTCTAGGTGTATTTCTTCCCTAACCAGGATAATTTCACAGCCTTGTTTTTGATAGGACTTAAAACATTTAAACCAGCAAAAATCTAGGGCAGGATTTTGCTAGTGGATGGGAATATGATAGACACAAACTCTGCTTTTCTCAGAGGACATAACCTTTGGATTTTCACTATTATTCTATTTTGATAAATTTTGATGCTAAATCAACATAGAATCATTAGAAAGTGTTATAAACCTGGAACATGATTTCAAAGAATACAGTAACATCACAGTATTATTAGGTGGTAACATTTGAAGTTAAAAAAGAATCTCTATTTTCAGGTTAGTCTTTGGAGCTTTAAGGCTGCATAGAAAGATTTTTCTTATCATCCAAATCACACCCCACATCATTTGTGCATGCTCTGATAAAGTGGCTGGAATATCTGCACTGCAGTTTAGCAGTGTTACTCAGAATGCAAATTGACTTTCACCCTGTTGTTTCTTACTTACAAAGGTCAATTTTGTAAAAATTGTCATCTTGATTGATATTATAATGCCCATTTCTTATAAATAGCTTTGTTGATAAATGCAGCCATTTGCAGTTGGGGTGGATGCTTTTCTCCAGATTATTGAGAAAACTGAACACTATAACAAGTGCTGAAGTCTGGTGCTCCTGCAAACAGGTAAAGATCATCTGGTTTCAAACCCCTGCAATGAGCAGGGATACCCCTCACCAGCCCAGGGTGGCCAAAGCTGGCCTTGAACACTTTCAGGGATGGGGCAGCTACAGCCTCTGTGGACAACTGTTCCAGTGTTTCACCACCTTCGAGGAAAGACTTAATATCTAATTTAGATCTACCCTCTTTCAGCTTAAAAACATTACTACATTACTCCTTGTTCCATCACTGCATGTCCGTATTAAAAAAAAAAAAAAAAGAATCTCTCAATCTTTCTTATAAACCCTTTTTAAGTGTTGAAAGGCTGCAATAAGGCCTTCCTGGAGAGGATAGAAGTCTTTTCATGTCTAGGATAAAAGTTTTGGTCAGAATGAGATCTCAGAATAGGCACAAGTTCCCTGTGCTAACCAAGATGAGAGATACCTGAGATCAACACTCCTTCTTTTGTGTTTTTCAGTGTGGACACTTGAGCCTCCCTAATCCTGGGCTTAGTAAGCTCCCAGAGCAAAGACAAATGAGTACTGAAAAAGAGAAAAGGTCTTCATTTCATTTTGATGTGAAAGGGGAATCTTTTTTTGAGTCTTAACAGAGACACACAGTGCTAAACGCCAAACGTTAATAAAAACACTACTCATTCAAAAAGCACCATTTCAGTAGGCTAAGAAGGTCAGAAAGACAATATTTATTACATCAATAACTCAAGTTGAAGTTCTAGGAAGATACCAAGTTTTACTGCGGAAAGGGTCATTTACAACCTGGACAGAAAATGCAGACACCAATTTTACAATTCTTTATATATACTCACATACATAAAATTCTTGTAGGATTTGAAGAAGGCGCTGCCACATGTCTCAAATAAGTCTGATCCTGGACAAGAAGTGGCCAGAAAAAATTTTAATTAGTAGGGACATGGCTGGGGCTCCACATGTTGCCTATGTTTAAGAACGACTTTCATAGCCTATTTCTTCCTGCTTTCATTTCTAGCTTTTGTTTTTTAGGCCTGTGTATGGAAATGTGCTAGGAAAAGAGAAAAAAGTCAAATCACACTCAAGTTGAAAAATAAATGTCAAAAAGACAAAGAGGTAAAAATCAATGTATTTCAAACATAAAGCTATGCATTCTTTTAACATGAATAACTCAAAAATTGGCTGCCATTCAACTGAAAAGTGAAGTCTGGAATAATTCCTTTTATTCCTCATTCCACTAATCCTAGCAAGGTTTGTTCTGTTAATACATCTCTCTTTCTGAACACTGCCTCGGCGCAAAACTTCACCCCTGTTGTAAGTGTCCTGGAGTTCTTTGTATCACTTCATTTCCTTCAGAAAACTGGATGGACACCTCTGAAATAGCAACAAGTCATCCTGGACATATATGTCATTTCTTTCCTTTTTACATTCTAACTGCATACGTTCCCTACTATTTCCCAAACAAGCAAAATAACTGAAGTTTAATTAAATCCACAACAACTTATCAGCTATTTTCTTGTGCAATTCAGATAGATTTAGTACATACTTCTGAGAACAGTTTCAATTGGAAGAAGTTCTCTAGGTTTGCTGTAATTCACATCTTCCCCTCCCTACCCTACTCTGAGAAATCAATGTCAGATTTACTCTCAGAACATACATAAATTCATTCAGTAATTTTCAATGAAACATAGGTCAGCTGCTTTCAACAAGAAAGCTGCTACAAAATATTGCAGTTTAAGTTTCCCTGCTCTGCTTAACAGCTTATAAGTCCACTAGCATCATGGAATGACAACTTCTCCAACTTGCCAGAGATCTACCAGTTTCTGTGATGGGAGATCAAATATTCTGCTGTAGGTTTGTCTTCTGTTAATTTTGATATGTTGGAACTTTGATTTCTATTAATGCAGCATGTGTTTTTTACTCTTCTTACATGCAGGAGCTCTACTGGCTGTATGTTTTCTTCTCCTCATCCCTTAGCTCCTTTCATGAAAAGCAATCACCAGGGTGCACTCAGAAGTCACTTACAACTCAGCATATGCAACTATTTGCCATTTTCTTTTCCTTTATTTGTAAAATTCAGGGCGCTGACAACAAGACAGACCACAGCCCCCCAAGCCCCGCACTAAATTTCATGATCCTATTGCACACAAAATGTTTAGCTTTTGTTTAAATGTATCACTGATTACTGCTCTCATCGCAAACTACAGACCATGGGTAGTAACCGCAATCAGGAGAAGAGTGCTACAGAAAGAATATCTGGATTAACCACACATAGCAATTATTACACACATTTTATCACTGTTTACTTCAATATAGCTAATTTTCATTAAGATGCAAATTTACTGAGTCGCAGCTATTTGAAGGAAGAAAGTTTGCAACTCAAGAGCACGTACTGATTAGGTGGTGCTTGCTCCAATGTTTATTTGGGATTGAACCAAGGCCATTTGCCTCAGTGCCATTACAGTATTAAGAGGCGTAACTCTGCAATGTCATTGGGCTGTCTTGCTTCCATTGTGAAATGTCCCGATTACAACAAAATTACGTGGAATTTTTCTCTTGGCTTATGCACCTCAGCACAGAATACCTATTCCTATACTAATCACAGATAACTACAGTTAAAAGAGAACTATGATTGTTACTCATGGGAACAGCACAATATCACAGAATCCTGATACCACTGCACTAGCAAACAGCACCTGCCTAACAAGAGCACTTTGTTAGCCCCACACCCCACTTGTGAAGCAGTGGTTATTCCTCCAAAAATCACAGCTGACGTGCCAGTCTAAGCGTGCTGTCTAGATGATCTATATTTAAGCTGGAAAATGATTATCTATTGTTATTATTAAATTGTACCTTTTTCTGGAGCCAATAATTTGTCATTTGCAAGGAGAAAGGCAGAAAAATGCATAATCAAGGAAAGAAGCTGAAGAGGTGGATGCTTAACTGTGTTACGGACTTTCTTTAATTAAAGCCTCTCTTAACCTGCTCTTAATCAAAGCAAGTGGCAAGCTCAGCAGATGGGTACAGCTGTGCATAACAACCATGCAGGTGTTTAATTTTTATATTTAGCAAGTATGCTAAGCAGCATTCAAATGTTTGGGGTGACAGGGTTGGTTTGTGAGGGAGGGATTCAAAAACACATGTCACAAAAAAGGGAGATTATTCCGCACTGTTAAATTACTCAATCAACTTCACTACTTCTGTGTTAAATCCCAGCTCGAATTACAGGGGCAGATGTATAATCTGGGAGGCTTTCCAGAGCAATCTCTCTATCTTTTGCTCCTCACTTCCTTCATTTTTTTTTTTTTTCTTTTTCTCTTAAGGCAAACTGTACTGAACTGCAGGCTTCTGCCTTCTCACGTACTAAAAGCAGTTCGTATTCTTTCTCTCATATTCCCACTACAAAAGACACCAGATGAGTCAGAGGAGACAAACACACACATCCTAGGTAGAAATAGATTACTGTCAAGCTAGGAGCTTGGAAACACACAAAGGCAGCAGTGAGGGAGGCTGCAGAGGAAAGGAACCTTACCCAGAACTCTAAGTCAGGACCCTGTGCAAATCCAGAAAACTAATTATTGAGATCATAAGAATACAAGATAACATTCATTTTGGCTAGAAATCTGACTAATACAACTAAAATGAAAAACAGTAATTCAAGACAAAGTCGGGGAATGTTCAAAAGGCTAACTTTTGCATTTTGTGAACAGAAGTTATCCCCCACATTCCTAGTACTTTGCAGCATCATTTATGTGCAACATGATAAAATAAGGCCAGATAAATGAAACACAGGAAAAATAAGTATTTGGCATCCTCTATAGAAAGTACAGAAGAATAGGAAGAAATTTTCACAAAGCCAAGGGTCAGTAGTAAAAAAAGAGCTTGGAAAGAAAAATTAGTGTAAGGTAAAAGTGACAGCACCATCACCTGCATTGATAGGTGTATCCAGGCATCCATTATAGCTACAGATAACGGAAGAGGCAGAACGTGGATAAGGAGAGCAATTTCAAATCACGCAAGTCAGTGTTGATAATGAAGTGATTCAGAGACTGCAGGTACTACCTTTCCACTCATTTTCACGTACTACACTACATTAAAGGTTAGATAAAAATAGATTACATGCTTTCATAATATTGCTTTCCCACATATTCTCCTGGTATTCTATGGTCTTTTAAATTAGAATAAAAATATCCACCAGATTCGCTCTGTGCTTTTCCTTGCACAGAAAAGAAGTTCAAATACCTTTGCTTAGCAATTTGAATATAAAGTGGAACAGAGCTGCTTAAGAATTCCTTACATCAGTATTTCTCAGACTTGGTGAAAATACAAGCCCCTTTCAGCTCATCTGTTTCTACCTGCTTGTGAACTTTGAGATAGTTGGTAGAATATTTTGAACATTTCTAAAGCTTTTTCTACTACATTTCAGTTCCTCTGACGTTGTTTTGTAGTCTTCAGCAAATGGAGTGGCACCGCACAGCTGGCAGAATGCTGACTTGGCTGACTGTCCTAATCAGAGCACATATTGGTTTAACGCAGGCATTACTGAATAAGGGCCTTCGCATCAAGCTGAAGATTTACAAACATTTAGGACTTCTCCTTATGCAATAAAAGGAATATTTGTTTAGCTTTCAGTCAGATTGTTGATGAACATGACTCTGGGAGCACTTCAGGTGCTCTTGGGGTGACTGAGATTCATATGATCCTAAGTGAAACACCTCCCAGAGTCCCCTAAAAAGTCCCATGCCATGGAACTGATCTGCAAGTGAACTGAGGAAAGGCCAAGGTCTGAGAGCACAGCCAGGAACAGTTGCCCTTTTCTGTCTTTAGTTTTTACAGTCTGGAGAGAGAAACATAAGCTACCGTTCAGAGATACATCTGTGATTTTAACCTACGTAGCCCTCAGCGCAAGCATTTGGGAGACTCAACTCAAGGTATCTCACATAACTCAGTGTTTTCCATTTCGACTTACTGTATCACTAAATATTTGCTATGAAAAAAAGAAGCTGTACAGGAATAATGCTATACAGCAATTCCTAACTGAACTCATCTTCACCTTACATACCCAAAGTACGCACCTTGACAGGATTAAAATACATCTGAGCAGTTTTCTGGCTATCCCCAGTAGCCAGAATTCAGAAAGATCAGGGAGCACTCTTTTCCTGAAGAGATAACATTATTATTTTGTCCTCTTGTTTTGTTCTCAAACTAGCTTACAATAAAATGACTTCTGTAATACAGGCTGTAGCACAAATGAAGTACAAAGAATTATTTTAGTCATAGCATTTACACGAGTCACACAGCACAGCTGATAAATGTTTTTATTCATCACACTTCACTTAAAAGCACAAATTTTATCTTTTTAGCATTTTGATTTCCAATTTTTTTCCTGTTCTATTTCTGCAATCATAACGTCTATTTGTACAGCAGATGAAACACTAGTTATACCTTGGAGAATTAGAAATATAAACAGAATAATCATTTAGGTCAAAATTAAAATTAGAGTCTAAAACTGTGTGTAGGAAATAGCACAATTTGTATTTACAAATTCTCATAGACTTAATTTGGAAGCGGAATAAGCAGTATTCAAAGCTAACTTTGATGACAACCTATACTTCCATAAATATTAATTATCAATATGTAACCAGCTAAACCATTCTAACTATATTTGCATTTCAGAGTGATTATTTTTGTAGCTAGCATATTAATTTCCTTGAAATGAATAATTTATTATAGTTATTTCCAATTCTGCCCTGTGTGTATTTCCAAGAAAATGGTGTCCTAAGGCCTGAATAATTACCAGACAAGTACTAGATAGCTCCCTTGATCTTTGCTGGAGATATGTATGTACGTGAGCTCTCAAGGCTGCCTACCATTTTCTTCAGCAGGCAATACTAAGGAAAG